ATTACATTGGGGCTTTGGGGGCTGGCCCTGGGTCAGGAAATAAATATGCTACGAGTATACTCGTAGGTAGTGTTTTATGTGGAGGGAGGATTGAAAATGAAGTTGTATTAAGAGAATACCTACTTTCGACCTTGGTGCCGGCAGATACGGTACGACGAGTACATTATCTGTTACTAATACCGTTATATCGGGGGACAAAAGCCGTCGTAGATTTTGGGGGTTGGGAATGGAAATGGGATAGGTAGGTACTAGGTATATCTCTAGGTTAGGAATTTTATGTTACGTTCATGTAACATTTCTCATGAGCCAGGTATTCAACTTCTTTCTCTTCCTAGGTCCATCTCCTGAAATGATGGCAGCGTCAAATACGGATATTGGTTAGGTATTTTCTCTGTCTAGGGTGAATAAAGTAAGTAGGTATGTGAAATATATATACGTCTCTGCACCTCCACCTTGCCGGGAATCCAATTACACACCGACCCTAGACTACTAATATAGGTAAAAGTGGAAGCAACAGAGAGAGAGAAGAAGAAGAAGAGGAGGAGGAGGAAAAGTAGGAGGAGTAAGAAAATGATTAAGTAGGTATGCGGCGAGCCATCGGCACCGGTCATATATGTAACCTATCCTGCCCCAGGGGAACAGCTGCATCGGAACATGATTGTTTTATACGACAGTATGGAAGTCGAGGTCTTGTTTACCGTGATAGGACTTCGTGATATAAAAGACAAGACAAGACGAAAAGAACAGTCCCAAGCATGCAAGGTCGTTGTTTTCATAGGTAACCGTTCTAAATACATAAGCGACTGTTGTTTAGTACCTAGTCTTCCAAGTCTACTTACCTGACTGAAGGTACGAAATGAAATAATGCAGAGGACAAAATATTCAAACATATAGATAGGGCATGCATGTTTATGTTCTTCTATTAGGGATTATTCCGTACGAGTCTTCTCATCATCATTGGTATCACTCCCACCCCCTTTTTTAGTCTTTGCCTCTCTTAACAGTAAGTTTCTGGGGCGTAGGTATTACCCTGCCCTACCCCGTCTTGGGTCCTAGCTATGAGTTAGTCTTGAGATGTTGAAAGTCCTCGACCCGGAACTAAATACCTATTAGACTCCCGTTGAAAGAGAGATGAGTCCTGGCCTAACCCACGCATGGGTTTGATCATATGTCAGATATCTATGGCATGAGGAGACTTGAATCCGTCCCGGTAGTGCGTAGCCTAACTGGCCGGTAGCTTGGGGTAGCTAGGGAAAAAAAAGACGTTTGTTTCCCGGGCCAGTGATATGGTATTGCGTTAGCCAACGACATTTTACATCAGCTCGAGGTATAGGTACATAGGTACGGATTAATATACGTATAGTACCATGTAGGACCAGAAAGGGGGGGTGGTTTTAACAAAGTCATCATTTTGTACATTGTGCGGGCTTCTTCTTCAAAGCTGTTTACCCCTTTTCTTGTTCAGATGCGAACGTCGTGGATGCCAATCTTTAGGCCTATACCTCCGCGATGAATTAGACGGATGTGTTCGTAACGGACATATTATAATATACCCTCATCCAGTTCCACCGCGCACTGAGAGGATATCCTCTCACACATTGTCTCTCATCCCCCTTTCCCTTCCCTTCCTTTCCTTTCCTCTCCTCACACCTCCTCTTCCTCCCCAGTAACACTGAGCGCCATAGCACTATACCCAAACCTCACCCCCTTCCCAGCCCTATCCACAAACTCCTTCACAGCACCCAACGCCTTCCCCGAGAGTAGATCCTCATCAGGACCAAGCACGACCCCCAAATCAACCGGTCCCTTCCGACAACCCTCCAGCTGATACAGTTTTCCGGATTTATGCGACTTCGCAAACGCCATGAATGCGTACGGCGCCGGAATCGTGGCGTCTTCGGGAGGCGCCGTGTCGCCGCGCGAAGCCACGGATGCGTGGGCTTCTTCTAGTTGAGAGTCCTGTTCGAGAACTTGGATGCGTTGGGCTCTGTTCAGGGGGGCGAGTTTGGTCACGAGGTTGGAGATGTGCGTGTTTGGTTCTTTCAAGTGGTTTAGTGTAGTTAATTGCAAAAAATAGCAAAAATAAAAGAAAAAAATAAAGAAGGAAGGAAGGAAGGAAAGGAACTTACCAATAAACCCCCTCGTATCCCCATTACTAACAGCATGTAGAATGGCAAACAACCCACAAGCATTCCCTATAGTCTGACAATAAAACACCGCATCCTCATCGTCACCGCTTAAATCGTGAGGAAATTTATCCTTCTCTTCTTCTTCTTCTTCTTCTTCTTCTATGAGTTTTATGTAATCACTCGGAGCTGGAACTATGATGACGAGCGCGAGAGTCGGTCGCGGTATGTATTTTGTTGTTTCGTCGTCGAGAGTGTACATGTCGTGGAAAGCTAGTTTCTTCGACATGCCCAGACGGTGGATTAACTCGGTGAAGAGTTCCGGGTTGGATTCTAGTGGGATGAAGTGCTTGGTAGTGTTTCTGGTCGCCATCTTGCGGGGGCGGGGGTGTGGTGTGGTGTGGTGTGGTGTGGTGTGGTGAGGATAGGATTGTTTTATGGCAAATTTAAAAATATTTCTTGAGTGATAGATAGGTATGTGATATTCTATGGCGGTCTTTCTCGTCTAGTCGTCAATTGTAGTCGGGTTAGATGTATGTATGTATGTATGTATGTATGTAATTCAGTAGGTATTGGAAGCAGGTGCAGCTTCGGAAGTTGTGCGCTGAGTGAGGGGAGTTGGTGGCACGTGGGGAAGCAGTCAGAGTCAAACACCCGCTTTGAATTCGTTTCTACTACTTCAAGTTAAACGTAGAAGCATGTCAAGTCTTTACAAATATATAAATGTAGACTTGAGTGAGGGTTGAGGTCAAGTAGGTAGTAAGCTTGTATCTGCGAACCTTCCTACCTCATGCATCGAGTGCCTACGCAAGCATACAGTTGCCTAGTCTAGCTCTGCCCCTTTTTTACCCCTCGTTTAATATACTCACCACCTCCCCAGACAACAAGCTTGTATTGTACAGGTTGCCATAAAGGCTGTGATATTCATATTGTCGTAGTAGATACGTGGACAAATATGCAAATCTAGAATCTAACCTAGCCTTTTGAAAGCCCACCGTAATATACATACATATTGACGACTTACATACAAGGTACATATAGAGCGGCCAAACCCTAAACAACATGGCCATCATACCCATTCCTTGGGTTCTTTCAGGACGTCGACGAGGCGCTGCTCGCGGCTTCGCGGCTCCGGCTCATACATGTACCGCCACGAAGCCGTCAGTGGTAAGCTCATGAGGATACTTTCAACCCTCGAGCCGGGTACGTTCAAGCCAAAAGCCGTGCCACGGTCGTGCACCAGGTTGAACTCGACGTACCGCCCTCTCCGCACCTGTTGCCACTCCTTCTCCTTCTCCGTAAACGGCATGTCTTTCCGTCTCTCGATGATGGGCAGATACGACGGCAGGAAGCTCTTTAGGCAGTCTTGGATGAAGGCGAACGTGTTTTCCGAATCGGCCACCGTTTCATCCAAGTCGTCGAAGAATATGCCGCCGATACCTCGCGATTCCCCGCGGTGCTTGTTGGAGAAATACTCGTCGCACCATTTCTTGAAGCGCGGGTAGTAATCCTTGTCGTGCTTATCGCAGGCTTCTTTGAGCGTTTTATGGAAGTGTACCGCATCCTCGTCAAACAGGTAGCTCGGCGTCAGATCGCTGCCGCCGCCGAACCACCAGGCCTGCGACGTCCCGTCCGGTTTCATCGTCTCGAAATACCGGTAGTTCAAGTGTACGGTAGGGGCCATTGGGTTTCGCGGGTGGAGAACCAGGCTGAGGCCGAGCGCGTAAAAGTCGAGGTTGTCGACTTCGGCCGTTATTGTCTTGTGATTTTCGCGCATTTTCGCAATGGCCGGTTTAGGCAGCGTTCCATACACGACGCTGATATTCACCCCGGCCTTTTCGAACACGTTCCCTTCTTGTAGGACGCAAGACAGACCGCCGCCGCCATTGGGACGTGTCCATGTGTCCTCTTTGAAACGTTTCCCGTCTATCTGTTCCAGCGCATCTACTATCTCCTTTTGCTGCTCACGAATGAACTCCTCCATCCGTAGGCGCATCGGCGATTTTTCGGTTATGCCATCCTCGCGTCTTGTGCGCTCGTCGAGTTCGGCAAGGGAACGTGAATCGAATTTTGTAGGTTTCTGGGTAGCCTGTAGGACCATAGAAGATCAATTGACGTCCAGGAACAAGTCCGACAGCGTCGCGCAGAGGAAGGGGAGTTGTACCATTGTGTAAGCTGTAGCTGCTATACAAGTGGCCGTTGCCATTACAGCCAACACACGGACTTGAACTCTGCGCGAGGTCGGATTGTACGAGCTGGAACTGAACGGACGTCGTATCGACTTTGAGGCTTGCGAGGGCCGCAGTCGCATCAAAGCGAACCGACACACCTCCCTCTGCGCCATGGTTGGAATTGGTATATTGTCGATTTAAGCCGGTCTAGAAAGGAGCGCCCCGGACGTGAGAGAATGTCGTCAGATCGTCAGGTTGAAAATCGTAAGATTTATCGTTACATTTTCCGTAATTGACTGGGGTCATCGGGAACGTTCCCGAGGGACAGTTTTTAGCGGAATTCGGAGTCCTGCTGGCGGCTAATCTATACAGTAAAAGGTTAGGTTACAGACATGCAAGGATGGTGAGCTGCACGGCCGCCTATCACGGGCCACTTTTAGGTGCCCTGTCATCTGTCCAGACACTGCCCGCGGGGCAGTATATGCCCCTCTCCAAAATATGTCAATTGGCCAATAGCATCTATCAGTAGAATGATAGACATTGATGCAACTCAAAAAACCAAACAATCATCAAATATCATCAAATATAGAGTGATTTCTCGTTTGGTTGTATTCACATGCTTCATTGTCCGTATCATACAAAACAAATAGCAACCCAGAGCCTTTTGTAGGTGTCACACCAAAAGCCTATTTGAGCAAAAATATGACCTCGCTGGGGGTCGAACCCAGAATCTCTTGATTGCGTCAAAGACCAATAATTATATCGCATCTTGTCTCGTAGTCAAACGCCTTGCCATTGGGCCACGAGGCCAGTCATGTAATTGGTTAGAATCCTCGGTCGTTAGGACAGAATATGCGCCGGCGACTAGCAACCTCTTGTGAAGGGGTACATAGGCAGTTTTAAGCCGCACTGTTGTGGGACCCAGGCACCTTAGCACCCAGGTCAACATCTACTGTGCTGTGGTCACAGCTCATACGAGGCGAAATTTACGATGCCTCGAGTCCATCGTCGGTTAGTACCCGTGAAGCCCCTTCCATGGACCTCGTCAGTTGCTAGTTCGGGTTGGAAGACATTAGGGGCTAGGTAGATGCAACACATATGCCATCCATTTCACACAGATTCGAAGGAAATACATATTCCACACGATAAGCTTATCCCAGATTGCTATTACTTGTACCCTTAGAAGCGAATGGCGACACAGTTGGTTTATGCTTGAGCATGAAGAAGTCGAACTAATCTCATTAAACTAAAACTGGACTTACCATCAACAAGATCTAACAACCTTTCAAATTCGAAGCCGATGTTCGCCTCCCCCTTTGACCCCTTTACTTCTCCAATCTAGCCTTCTTTTTGCCCATTATTTCTGCCCCCACCCCTCCATGATGACCCGATCTCGACCTGGTCCAGAAACCTCCTTGCAGCGCGCACGCCAATCTCGTAAATGGCGCGCTGGCCGACGACAAAGTCGGTATAGAACAGGTAGTTGTCAGGCTCACCACAAACATCTCGCCCCCCATTGCCAACCTCGTACCTGGAGAGGCAGGGGGTAGATATGTACAAAAACCCGTCTTCCGACGGACGAGCGCCTAGCCCGTTGCCGTCGGACATGTCGGCGTTGCGCAGTTGTCGGTCGACCATGAGTTCATGGATATAGTGCGCAAGATCGTACGAGTCAACCTCGCGACGCAGAAACGGGATATCGATATCCCGCAGCTGATTCCGTCGCTTCGGCTTTTGTGGCCGTAGAGGTCCGTTAGCGGCAAGCGCCTTTACGATGCCGATGTCGACGGTATCGACTACGGACCAGTGCTCTGGGTCCGGCGACTTGAGCCAGTCGTCCACGGCCGTCTCTAGTAGGGTGTTCCAGTATGTCGTCAAGAACACTGCGTTCCGCAAGTGGTCTGCCGATGAATGTGGAGGTCTGACAGGCGACGGACGCGTGCTGTTGAAACCCGGAGTTAATGTAATGTCAAACGTCGGCTTGAGATATAGCCGGAAGGGCGCCCGCGCCACCTTCTTATCTTCCCTCACACTCGCTTCCAGAGGGCCGTGGCTCGACAAATAGTAGTCGGAGAAGGCGGGCGAATTCTTGTCTTCCGCGGCCCGATATAATCGCTTGATGTGGAAGAATAGGTCTACGACGTTCGCGTCTAGGACCTGCAATGCGAGATTGCGAGGTAGAGCGGCGAGGTTGTAGATGTCAGTGTACCCGACATTGAAGACCCATAGGGTCTCGGCTGGGGATAGAGCTGGTTTAGGGGACGAGAGGAAGGCGTCGATTTGAGCGGCCAAGTCGGGCTGGGTTGGGACTGGATATTGCGACGGAACCCAGGAGTAATCGAGATTTGGCCCGCCGTTGTTCTGATTGTTCCGCTTGGTCTCGCCTTGCACCGATGTTATTATCTTGTGTGCTGCATCAAGAAGGGCGTTTGACATGACGGCGCCGCCCATTGCTTCCGCCTCCGGGACGAACGAGAGGTAAGTATCGCAACCCAACTGCACCATAGCATTAGCCTAATAGTTATGATTGCCTATAGTTTGTCGTATAGTGCTTATCACCTTTCGACACATGACTTCGGTCCATGCGGGTTTTTGACGATGCTGCTTGGCACGTAAGTGGCTCGGTGTAGCGACATCCCCTCCGCCAAACACCACCATCCTCAACCCGGCAGGGCTATCCTGTCCGTTCGGCATCTGGAGTGTATTATGACCGAAATAATCCAAATGGAACAATGACCTACTTGACAGTCGTAGAATATACCAGACATACGTCAAACCCATGAACGTGATTGTCAAATACGCGGTTTTCAGGAGAAGCTTGGGGCCTCTCCTATACGTCTCGACCGATACTATGTTATCTCGAGCCCATCTTTTGCACTTGGAGCTCATGGTAGGTGGACGTTCAGACGAGAACTCTTTTCTGGCCTCGGAGTGAACCCCCCACGAGTGGTCTTGTGGGGAAGGGGAATCGGCAGAAGACCATAGTCTGAAGATGTGTACCCAATACCCCATGCTTTGCTTCGTGATACTGGTGTTTGGTTGGCGTCGGTTACAAAAAACAATGGGCGATGAAAAAAGTCAGGTGGTAGGTTCCTATCTTAAGATATATAGGAGCGGTAATGAGGGTGATAGCACGAGGAAAGCACCAAGCGCACACGTCATGAATTGTTTCCTCGCTCCGGCAGGTTGTCCTTTCCGATATTCCTCGGCATTGATGTGTACAAAAATATATAGCCTGGGAACAGTCATGGGTATTTCCCCGGGGAGACAGGCTCCAAAGGTCCTCACAACACCAAATTCCGTGGCAAAAGACCCCATGGATTCCATGCCTAAGGTATGTAAAGATAAGTACCTAGAAAAGTACGCGTCAGCTGTTTCTAAATCTGCGATGGGAAGGCTTGATTTGTCGGCCTTGACACACTCCGTGCGAGCCTTTTGGAGGGGCTATCCACGTATCTATCCATCTCCCTACCTACTCGTACAGCAAGTGCTATATATGATGTAGGAAGGCACCTACACCATTATTTGATAAGCTAAAGGTTCTGGTCCCTGGATGATGCTTACCTAAGTACTTCCCTACTTTAACTATATGGGTCAAAATTCCGCAGGAAATAAAGACACTACCTACTTTCAAGTCTTCTTACCTAATATCATGGTGAATTGTCTCACGACAGCAATTGACTTGTCAAGCTGCACAGGTAAACTTCTTAAAAAACGCCCAATTTTGAATATTCCCTCATTCATGTCTTCGCTGTGGCGCACTCACTTAGTGTCGTAAGTAAAACACATGTCCATCGCCTTATATGGCGGAAGTTGACTCGGTGTTGATGATGGTAGGGAAAACGATTATAATCTTATCGTCACCCGCGTGTTAGCACCCATCAGAGGGACATTTACGTGTACCAGGCGACAAGGCAATTAAACCTCATTTGCTTCCGAAATAAGCACTAGATTCGAAGTGTATAAGATTCTTTAGGATGTACTCGTAGGGAGATCTGATACCTATTCAGAGCTAGCCGAAGCACGGAGCACCAGATCCTATGATAACTTCGGCATCAACCACGACACCGATGGAGCCGGAATACTTGCTTGGTCTCGATCTCCGAAATGGATAGAGACATAATGTCCTGCCTATAGTTTTCCGTTTTAAGCTGCCCTCGCGAGTCGCTGTCGTTACTAGCAGCTAGGTAGTTACTGGTGTTTTTACCCGTAATTCTGTTCTGCGGTGCGCTACTGTGCGAGAACCTGACAGGAGGACTCCGCGTAATATATTACATAAAGGCAGATGAAATCGGGATTGGGCCTCGATCAAATTCCACGTATCTATAGACGGACACTAGCAATCCTTACAACGGGCTATATGAGGTTGATACCACCATCGGGCTGCTGTCTGGCCCTGCTGGGGTTTGCCGGAGCTTGCCAGAGAACTGGTACATCAGATGAACATCCGACGACTAGATCCGGCCCAATCATCAACTTGGGCTATGCGACTTACGAAGGCTATTATAATGATACGTACGATCTGAACATCTGGAAAGGGTACGAGCGACGGTCCATTTTGAGTCCCAAAAGCCACATATTGCGGCTCAAGCCCAGATTGATATGCCCAACTTACGACAGCTGTCGTGATTGATCACCGGTGCTGATAAAACTACTAGTATTCGATATGCTGCGCCGCCAACTGGACAACGCCGATGGAAGGCTCCCGAAGCCCCTCTTTACTCAGGCGATCGCATCACCCCAGCAGTAGAACAGCCTCCTTTGTGCCCACAGACGGGTGCTTTCGGTGTGCCGGGAGTATATGGATTTAACTCTGGGCCCGGTGATGAGGATTGTCTGTTCCTTAACGTCTACGCAGCCCCCAATGCAACCGATTTGCCGGTTTTGGTATGGATACGTATGCAGTCCCTCCATCCATTCTTTTTCTCACAAAACCTTTAGCCGAATGCTTACCAGATCGAGCTGAAGATGGCGGTGGCCATTCGGTTTTCGGGGCAGAGTATGATCCGAGTGTATGGATGAACACCAATGACAACGGCTTCGTAGTTGTCGAGCTGCAATATCGCCTAGGGGCGTTTGGGTTCCTCGCTTCCCCTGAAGTTAAAGAAGGCGGGAAGCTCAACGTAGGGCTTTTAGATCAGCGATACGGCATTGAATGGACAAAACAGAACATAGCCAAGTTTGGTGGTGACGCCGACCGCATTACAATCGGCGGCGAGTCGTCCGGCGCCGCTTCCGCCATGTACCATGCTATGGCCTATGGAGGGCAAGATATAGGGCTTTTTGATAATGTATGCCGTCTATACGCATATCTTTGTGCTGGACGATGCTAACGTCGACTAGATTATCGCTGCCAGCCCTTACTTTCCGGCGGTTTATAGGTACTCGGATCCCTTCCCACGGATCCGATATGAGAGGTTTGTCGAATTTGCCGGGTGCTCAGAAACACCACAATACAGTAGCACATTTGAATGCCTCTTGGATGCCGACAGCGAAACATTACAGAATGCTAGTGGGTCTGTGTCAACGACACTGGGGTACTTTGGAAGCTTTGCCTTCTTGCCTGTTATTGATGATGAGTACATACAAGAGCGACCATCTGTACAGCTTCAGCAGAGCAAGCTGAGCGGGAGGCGTGTCCTCATTGGCGTGAGCATATATCCAAGATATCTATCGATGTCGACTAGGCAGACACACTAACGAGATGATAGAACAACGCCAATGAAGGGGTTCCTTTGTTCAACCCAGAGGTCTCTACCGTGTCTCAATACGACGCTTTCATCGCCGACATGTTCCCACTGTTTACAGAA